AAAACAGCATGTGCAGCGTACCAAGATGTGACCGTGCAACTAAAAGTTATTCTGAAATTGTTAAAATATAAAGTTCACACAATAAAATTTGTCTGTGGTGGTTATATGTGAAGTTTAAGTGGAGAAGTAGGCAAGAGTTTATCATGATCTTATAACTTATATATCTTCATTTGGAGTTTATCCTCACGGTGTAAAGCAGAAACCTTGAAAGTATGATATGGTAATAGGATAGATATGGCGTCAGAAGTGTGTTTTCCTGCAGATTTATGTGTATGTATAGAATATGCAAAGGCATGAAAAACCACTCCCATTTACAGGAATGCTGAAAATGATGTTTTATTTGAATAAAGCATAAAATAAAGTAATACTATTATAATTTATGTCAGTCCCTATATTATACTTACGTTTTAAACTATATACTTTACTTAATGAGATGTATACTATAGCATTACCATACAAGAGAATTTTTTCAAAAATAGTCAAACGTAACATGTGTGGGCTTCCCTGGTGGCGCAGTGATTGAGAGTCCGCCTGCCGATGCAGGGGACGCGGGTTCGTGCCCCGGTCCGGGAAGATCCCACATGCTGCGGAGCGGCTGGGCCCGTGAGCCATGGCCGCTGAGCCTGCGTGTCCGGAGCCTGTGCTCCTCAACGGGAGAGGCCACGACAGTGAGAGGCCCGCGTACCGCAAAAAAAAAAAAACAAAAAAACTTAACATGTGTGAAGTACACATGATGTAGAGTATGAGCCATTTGTATAAAATATTTTTACAAGCAGTATACTGCTGCCAGATCCTTTCAGCAACTTCTGTTATTGCTTTTTGGAAGTCAAACACTTATGCTTCTATCTCAGAGATTCTCTAATATACTTTATAGTCGGACAGTGGGCTAAAAATCTTCAGACCCTCAGGACATTGATTTTCCTTTTCCTGTCAAGAACTTTGTCATTTAATGCTTTCAATTATATTGGTTCATCTTATTTTTTGGCTACATTTTCCTATTTCTCTACTCAAGCCAGGCATCTTCTTAAACTATTTCCTAGATTCCACGTCCTCTTTGCCCTTTACCCTCTCATAAGGAGCAACTTTCCCCTAGTTTTATCCAAATTCTGTTATCCCTCCAGTCTTCTTACAGCCTGAAATTATAATGATCTACCACACACTAATGGTATTTACTCCTTGTGATATGCTATATATTTTTTTAAATAGGATATTATTAAAGACCCTCACCATATGCAGTTTGAGCCTCAGATATATACCTTCAGCTAGTCCACGCAAAGTTTACCTAGAAAACTGAGGTTCTGGAAAATAAAGAAAATTTCCAGAAAGGAACATAGAAGAATGAAAAGAAAACGAGGTAGTAGTTACAGTAGTGCTTCAGTTCCTTAAGTGAATAGGAAGTCAGGCAGGGGCACTGAAGTAGTTAACCTGGTAGGAATGGAAGCAAGACTGGAGAGTGCCAGGTTGCTTTCTAATTTTTTTAGTCATTTTTAATTTATGCTTGTGACATATGCATTAGGACTTTAGGCTTTGTCCATCTCTTTAGTAGACATAGTTAATTTGAATTTGAACAAATGAAACGCTTGTATTTGGTGAATTGAAGCAACAGTATATAAAAATCCATGCACATTGGCCAAATCAAATTTCATATTGTAATTAGAAGTTGGTGGCAGTGTCAGTACACCTTCATGGAGATCAGTGTTAATGGTTGTTTTAAAAAGCACAGGGGCGTCTAAATAGAGAAAGTAAAATATCAGAACCAGTAAGACAAGATATGGCTGGTAGCGTATTTTCACATAAGCAGTGGTAGATTTGCAAATACTGAAATGTTTGCTAAATTGTCAAATCAGAGACTAAGATTCAGTGACAATAGAACAGATGCCATTGTATGAGAAAATGTACATGATGACTGGAACAAGGCAGGGAACAACTTTTAATTTCATTTCCAAATGTTTGCATGAAATATCTCAAAATTGTTAAAATCATTTTAAAAAATCTAAAAAGGCAATCTGGGAGAAAATTCTTATATAGTTTGCATTTATTTTAGAGACTGTATTGTGCCATGTCAATACACAGTTAATTTTCTTCCCTTCTAAAATTGAAAGGACAATATTTGCACTAAAGTGCATGCTGCCTAATTGTGGATTGTCAAACACAGGAGGACTTTTAAAGAGAGGTTGATGTGAATTTGTGTTCTTCCATGGCTTGTAAATTCATAGCGCAGATAAAACAATCCATTTTGTTAGTGGAATAGGTGAGCCCTTTGTGGGGACACAGAAAACTTCATAATTTCCTGCAATTCTGCTTGAAAGATACCAACCCAAGCTAGAGCACTTCCTCTGCTGTTAGATATTATTCTGGTCTCAGAAAACCCTTCCCTGTAGAGAACCTGAACACTTGATGCTGAATATGCCCTAGAGTGAAATGAGTCTGGCACACTCTGGTCAGACAGTAAATATGTGTTGAATGAACGAGTCATCATTTATAATTATTCAAACATTTTTTTCTTTTTAAAAGTGACCTTATTTTTAAAAATGTGTATAGATAAAATCCTAACACAACAGAGAATGCTGTGTTATGAAGAGGTTTCCAAATTGTAACAAAAAAAAAAAGACCACATTTATTTGAGACAGTATTTAATATGCTAGTGTGGGGATACAAAGACAAATAAATTTTAATTCTTTGGACTCTCTGAGCTCTTCAGTCCAATCTCAAATGTTTGGCTGCTTATATTTATTATGATTATCTTTATTAATAAAATAAAATTATAATGAACATTTATTGAGCGGGTTACTCAGTATCAGATTCTATGACAGGAGCATTACATGTGCTTAAAAAATGCTTTTAAAAAATAATCCAAACAACGCTATGAAGCTGTTGTATAAAGATGCTGTAACTTTCTCATAGTTACATGCTAGTAGTAGGTTATGAACCGAAATAATCTTAAATCCAGAATCTGTTCTTGAGGTCATTAAATTTTATATGATAGTATGCAGTTAAATTTTATAGGGTTTATGGTTATAAATCTTACCATGCTTATAACCTGTTGAAAGAATATATCAGATTGCAAATTCATGATTTAGGGAAACTGAGCATCCTAACAATTATTATCTTAGTCATCAGTCACACTGCCAGTTTTATTAGTGGCCTTGAATACTGACCGAACCTCAGAATCACATTTGCATATAAGACAAGAGAAACACTGTTCTGTATTTTCACAATCTGGATCAATGATAATATGACACTGCTTATCAATCCATGTGTAGATGTACTACATCTTTAATAATTATTACTTAAATTTTAAAATATTTGATACTCTTTTATTCCCATCAAATTAGGCTCTAGGGAAAAATTTTGTGTTTCATGTAATTACTTTAAAATTCAAGCTGATTTCATATTTGAGAGAATGAAAACTTGTATGGAAAATAAAAGAACTCATTGAAAGTCATATTAAAATTACACAAAAATGGTCCAAATATATACTTGCCTGATATTTTGAAAGAATCATTAGAGTAAATCTTGTTTTTGCATTATCCCCACCCACAAATGATATATGTGTGCACGTTTGTGTGTGAACAAGAGAGGGAGAGGGAGAAACTGGGAAAGAGACAGGAAAAGGCAGGAAGAGAGAGAGGGGAAGGGGACAAGTCTAGGTGGTGGAGCTGTCATCCTAGTACTTGAGAATTTTATTAGTGATATAAAAACTTCAATAAAATGAAGTTGATGAGGATTTTTAGATTTATTCTTTAGTTATCTTATAATGAAGATATAAGATACCTATTCTTCAGGTATCTTCTATCTTTATTCTGATATAAAGAGTAAAATGTACAGAATAAAATCAGCATATTGGCAATCACCTGGTCTTTCCATAAAGAAGATGCAATACACTTTAGTAATTAAAACAAAACAAAAAGACCTCTTCTTCTAAGGAAAAGTTTTTTTAGCCTAGTTTTAAAAATATATTCAGTTTGGAACAATTACTGTATCTGAAGACATAATTATATTACTATGCTAATTATATGTGAATCAAATTAAAATGAACTGTATATGATTTTTATAAAGTTAATGCAAAACAGTATTTGATAACTTTCATATTAGCATATTGGGTGTGAATAATGCAGGTTCTAGGGAATTATTTCTTAAAAAATGTTTGCTAAAGAGTTAACAATATAAATCAAATATACATTATATATATATTGCAGTTGAGTAAAACAATGAAAATTGGAAAGATCAAGTTATATATTCTTCCATGTAAAATATTTTCCTAATTATAATTCAAATTTATATTCTGAAAAAGGAAGGGAAGAAGTGACTAGGCTTAGCTTCAATATAATAAAAGAATACCTACTTGTTATAAGTTCTTTTTGCTGATCATAACCACATTTTACAGTTTTTGGCCCTCTGTCCACAACTGGCTAACTTTAAAATATGGCATGGTATGAAATGAAACTTGTTTATGTAAGTGATGCTTCATTTTTTTCTGTAATTTATTGTTCAAGGGTTTTCAAAAATGTTTAGTAGAAGGCTTAAGAGTATTTTATATAATAACTTTAATGTTATGTGTCCTACATTTACAGTGGTATGTTACATGAATTATTTTATTAAATAATGATTGTCAAAATGTTGTACTATCCTGTGTATGCAATTAAAAACTATATTGCTCTTCTGTACATGCTGTACATATAAGTGACCCCATGGGTCTCCCAAAGTGAGCCTTTAACATTCCAGAATTTTTACTGTGCATCTGTTGCTGGCATCTAGCCTCCCACCCACACAGGCTAAGGCTAACTAAATGAAATTTATGCTAGTGCAATAAAGTACCTAAAGATGAAGTAGTAAAATGGGAAGACAGTTACCTTATTAGTGGGGTTGCTAACATAGCTTCACTAGAAAAACGTATGCACATACATGGAAGAAAACAGAGTGGATGTGAGTGGGAGAACCCAGAAAGTAACTTATTCGAATGATATTTCATACGTATCTTTCTATGTTATATATTCCAGATGGGAGTCATACAGCTCAATGAGGACTTCATATTTATTGAACCACTCAATGATACAATGGCCATAACGGGTCACCCACACCGTGTATATAGGCAGAAAAGGTCCATGGAGGAAAAAGCCACAGAAAAGTCAGCTCCTCACGGTCATTACTGTGGTGTCATTCCAGGTAATGCCTTCTCCTAAAAGGGTTTAACTAAATATGCAATGTCAGATGAATCCTTTAATAAATCCCCCCTCCCTCCCTCCCTCTCTTCCTTCCTCCCTTTCCCACCCCTCCCTCCCTCCCTCCCTCTCTGTCTTTCTGTCTATCCATCCATCCACCAGCTTTATCTTTTTTAATGTGGAATCTCTCTTGGTTAATGACAATTACTTATCTTTTTTAGACTTATCTTTTAGTTTTCTATGAAATAGTACATTTTAATATCAAAAAATAGAAACTCAAAAGGACTTCAGATATTAATATATTACATGCTCTATATCCCTCAAGAGGGATACTCATGGGTTACTGTTCCCCTCACTGGAATAGAAATGACACCGAGAGAATTGCAGATTCCCTGAAACTGAATACTGTGAGCTCATGGTCTTATTTCAGTCCACCTCCCTGAGAACATCATAGATATCTCTTTACTTTGACCAGAAGCAGCTTCTACTTTTTCTTCTTTTTCTATTTGACTCGAGTAAAAATCATCTTGAAGGTTAAAATTAGAAGAGGAATAGGAAGAAGAGTCAGGATTTACTTCTTTGAATTTTATTCTCAGTATCAGAATACTTTAAATCTGGAAGTTTCAGTGGCTCATAAACATTCCCAACCATCAAATCCTGGTCTCTGTTTGTCTGCTAATTTTTCACAGAAGTAAAATGGGGTGACCGTTTTGTACACTTCCTTATTACTTCCTTTGGCAGAGATCTGTGGCATTAGCAAGAAGGATAAGGAAAATGAATGATTTCTATTACATAAGTAGGACCTGAAAATCATAGTCAGCATTCAGTGGTTTCCCTAGGAAAAATATTTGGACATCTAATCCAGACATCTCAGTGAATATTCACTGTTATGAGAAATATTTCCCTATAGTATCTGAGGAAATGTGAATTTATTGAAGAATTTTTGGTGTAAAGACTTTAAAATTTGAATTGGAGATTTAAAATTAGGTGTTCGTGTAGTTAGTGCCAAGATAGCAATTCTAGCATTGGTTATGGTATCTGAGGCTGATTTAGGTATATAAATTGTGATAATAAGTAACATTTGCAGAGGCCATAGCATGTTCATATAATCAATTGTCTAGTATGTTCAAATTCAGAAAGAATTTCAATATGTTTCTCTTTAGATATATTATCTCAAATTAATTTATGATCTCTATTTTCTTTCGCAAAAGCTCATGATATCAGTCTGTATTGGAATTATCTTCAGAAGTGGTTAAGTGAATCTACCTCTGTGTCACATTATTCAACGTACATGATCAAGTCAATTTAAATAAGACACATCCCTCTTCTCTATTCTAAGAACTGTAGACACAATGGAGATAAAAAACAGCTGAACAGAAGTCATAGTATGAACAAGCAAAAGAAAGGTTTTTATATCGTGAAATGATAACAGAAACAACTTGGATTTAGTCCATTTAAGGAGATTGCCTTGTGTGAGTTACACTGAAAATCTGCACTATGCAACTTTTGAATCATAGTGAGTTCCAGCTATTCTAATTACTCATGTATACGGATGACATAAAACAGGCTTTGTGTGCCATTATGCACAGAGGAAACGTTTCTAGAAAATTCTTATTTTTGATAGGTTTATAAAGCATAAATACACAGTTCATATTTCACAGACATTGTTCATAAACTTCCTAATTTTTTTTAAGGCATGACTGTTATATCTTAATTGACCTGTTTGGATCAAGCACTTGCATAGAAGGAGTGCTAAGCTATCGTCAGTTGGATGCTTTACTGAACTTAACTATTTTCGATGCTTTATAAGGGTCTAGAAATTTTAAACTCATTTTAAAATTAGCAATCCATGAAATAAAATATTCATTTACTTATCAGCATAAGTCTAATTGCAGTTCTTCCCTTCTTACTTCAAGCTGATATATCAACATATTAAAAACATGATTCAGATGTGGATAATGTTGCAGTAATTGCCTTTTCACAATGGAATCATAAAAGCGTATTTGTATTCAACTTGGTCTTTGCCCTATTCCCCTTCATCATGTTAATGTCTTAAGTGTATTGTGTTTGTATGTATTGATTACATAAATATTTTTTCTGAACAGGCACTTCATAGTTTAGGATGACTTTGTTGTGTTCTTTTATTAACAATAACATAGAGGAAAGAAAGGCACATGAGGTTGAGAGTCAGAGGCCCTGGTTTCAAGGCCTAGCTTCAGTCTCACTCCAGCTAGGTACTCTTCTTCACTTCCCTTGAACTTTTGAACCTTAAATTCTTTTTTTTTTTTTTTTTTTTTGCATTACACGGGCCTCTCACTGTTGTGGCCTCTCCCGTTGCAGAGCACAGGCTGCGGACGCGCAGGCTCAGCGGCCATGGCTCACGGGCCCAGCCGCTCTGCAGCATGTGGGATCTTCCTGGACCGGGGCATGAACCTGTGTCCCCTGCATCGGCAGGCGGACTCTCAACCACTGCGCCACCAGGGAAGCCCAACCTTAAATTCTTTATTTGCAACATAAGCAGGACCAGTCACCTCACAGGGATACAGAGCTAAATGACACAGCTCTTATTCTCAAGAGGTGACCAATGTATTATTTTAGACAAACTAATAAATAAGTAATTATACTATCTATAATAAGAACTATGACAGACTCAGTACCCAAGATTCTAAGCTTCTGTTATTTGGTGGGGGGGGGCAGTGGCGGTTGAGCCTCAAAGATCAAGTAAAACTTATCCAGACTATAGGGAGGAAAGGGAACAGAGTGTGCAGGTTAAGAAAATGGACTTTGGGGTCAGACCGCATGTGTTCACATCCTTATGCTGCTGCTCCCTACCTGTGTGGCTTTGGAAAACTTCGTTGATCTCTTCAAAGCTCCATTTACAATATACAAAATGGGTGTAGTGGTACCCAAACTTCAGGGCAGTTGTCCAAATTAAATGAGATTATGTGTGAAAATGGAAAACATATGTGAAAATTTAGTGGACGTTGTTAGGGAAAGAGCATTTCAGGCAGAAGGAACAATAAATACAAAAGTATAAAGGCAGGGGAAAGCATCCAATGTCTACAGTGTGGACATGAGACACAAGCCTGGAAAAGTAGTCATGGATGAGATAATGAGGGGACTTGGGGGCTGTGGTAATAAGGAATTTATCTGGAAGGCAAAATGTGGTCTTTGAACACTGTGAGCAGGCAAGTGACATTATCAATCAATATATATTCCTTAACATTTAGTATAAGCTTGTGAGTATGTCTGCTACTCTGTGTGAACAAGAGCGAGATTTATAGAATTGAAGAAGACCGATCTATTTGAGCAGGATATAGAGATCATCTCTATTCTAAGAGCTAACTTAACCCAACCATTACTGAAATAGTTGCCATATGCCAACCATAACGGTTGTGGAGATGATTGTCAGTATGTGGAGGGTATTATGGGGAGCACATAGTGAGCACTGGTGAATACACATTTAAAGATCTTTTAACTGAAAGCGTGTGGTATCGACTCTATTGTTTTTATACATGCATCTGGGTAGAAAATGGTCTCAGGATTGAGATGAAGAATGAGCTCGACGTGGTTGATGTAGACAATGAAGACATCAAAGGAAGCAACTTAATAAAAAGATAACTCCAATATGCATGATTTTCACACAGAATGGCTACCTTATATAATGGAGTCATAGAATCATGGTATTGGCATTCTTAAGAAACCTAGAATGTTCCAAATAGCCTGTTTAAGTATAACGTGCAAATAAGGATGTAGCACACTGACAGTTTGGGGCCATCACAGCTATCATTAGCTGGGGCAATAAAGGTAACAAACTTTTCTGTCTCTCCCTTACATGGTCTCTTTATCACTCTTGATATGGTCGAAAAGCCCCGCATTTTATAATTATCCCCTCAGTTTCATATTATCTCTCCTTTTATTTTTCTTGTGTTTCTGTCTCCTCCATGGGCATATCTTCTTCCGTATGTGCACCCCCTAAATGTAGGCATTTCCCAGGACTCCCTCCTTTTCCTTCTACTTCTCATGCCACATGCTTCCCTGGGGTGATAGAATCCAAATCCATGGGTTCAACTTCACTTACACATTGTTTAGTTCCAAACTCTATCTCCATTTTAACCTCTCTCCTGACTGTCAGGTGTTTAGTAACTTCTACTCAGATGTCTCTCAGGCATCTCAGACTTAATAAATTATCTACAGCTGAACCCATCATCTTTCCTCCCAAACTGCTCTGCTGATATTTCCCACTATCTACCTAGTCACTCGAAAATAAACACTAAACACCCCCCACACACGTAAACAACAGCAACAAGAAAGAGTAACTCTAACCACCTCCGTTTTCCTTTTTAGTCTGATTAATTTTGCTGAGGGTGATGTCTGCTTTCTGATATGTTGCCTATCATCTCATCCTTTCTATTTTAACCACTGTGTGATTTTTACACAGAAGATCAGTGATGTAGCCATCTAGGAGAGCTGCGAAATCTGTGTGTCTGAGTGTCTCTGTATCTATCTATCTATCTTTCCCCATAATCAGTTTATTAGGTGTTGACCCTGCCAAGATGAGCCTTTTCGTATACCTGTAGGAATGTCTCCTACTAAATATTATAAGTTTATATGACAGTATACAAATATATAACCATAAGTAGGATTGTGATTACAATTAGAAAAACTACAAAATTTATTCCTAACTGTTGTAGATCTTAAGATACTAATAAAACCAATTTCTTATTCTGTCCTTCATGAAGGTCTTTGGTATTAACTGCTGGTACTAATTATGGATTCATAAAATTTACTTTTAACTATAGTGATTCTGTTGCAGATGGCTACTGTTGCTTTCGTCCTTTTGCATTTTCTTGTTTCATAATATCAATATAATGCTTATTGTTGTTAAATAAGGAGTCCTTGCATTTATTTTCGTAACACTTTTGTTAACTTAGTTAACTGACTCTACTTGACATTTGGATAAAACTTTGTTTATTAAATAGATTTTTAGTCTGTGTCCCTGTGACAAAAAATGAGAAACCGTAATTTATGGAGATATCTGAGAACAGTGAAGTTTCCAGCAATCGTGGCAGGATCTACTTCATGTTAGAGCTCAGAGCTAACTCAGTTGGACCTAGAAGTTAGTAATAGAAGGGACCCAGTATTTCAAGAATAGAAGAGATAAACTAATCCTGGCATCATGAAAGGGTGTTAGAAGGCAAGTAAGGTGGAATAGGTAGTAGGATAGGATAGGATAGAATAGAATAGAATTGACATCAAAGTTAAAGTACCTGGAACAAGACTCAAAAAAGGGAATTTATCGGAAACCAAGATGATGGACTGGAACTATGAGCATACATACAAATTCAGAACAGAGACATGTTCATGGAAACGGGACTAACTGGACACACATTTTTATATCCATGGGATTCCACTAAACACACATGTTTACTTCTGGGGACTCCAATAAAATTAGAATACAAAAATATAAAAGATGTCGGCCAACAAATACAAGTTTGGGAAAGAAGATGACAGCTATTTAGTGACATCAACAGAATTTTGGTAAATGGCAAGGAGAGGAACAGGTGATAGCTAATATAACAATGGATTGTGGAGATCATTGCACAATTGTAAAAACTTGTCAAGGATAATTGAATTGTACATTTAAATGGCTCCATGTTATGGCATGTAAATTACCCCTCAATAAAGCTGTTAAAATCATAAATTCGTTATTAAGGTACCACATGCATACAGGAAGTTGTACAAATGATGTGTCCAACTGCTGAATTTTCTCAAAATGAACATAACCATGTAGGTATGACTCAGATCAGAATATAGAAAATATCAGCACCATAGATGTCCCCCTTGTGCCCACTCCTAGGTACTCATCATCTCTAGCTTAGCCATTCTGGGGATTTTAATTTATTTAATTTACTGCGGTTAATTTGCATTTCTCTGAAGACTAATGCGATTGAGCACCTTCTCATATGCTAATTAGCCATTTGGATCTCCTGAAATGGCTCTTCAGATTTGTGGCCAATTTTTCAATTGGGTTATCTGTCATTGATTTAGAGTGGCTTTTTATTACTTTATTATGGAAAAGTACTATAAATATCTTCTCCCACTTGGTTGCATGCTTTTCATTCTGATAGTAGCATATTTTCATAAACAGAAATTTTACATTTTTATGTAGTTAAATTTATAAATATGTTTATTTGTGGTTACTGATTTTATTTGGCCCTGTTTGAGGAATCTGGTACCCTGAGGTCATAACTTCTATATGATCCTGATGGAAGGCAAAACCAATTCCAGTGTAACCCATGTATAGTTTGAGTAAATAGGGGCACCTGCCTGACATTAGGATGTATGGGTCAGTCACTTCAGGCACTTCTGGCAAGTAGACCTTTATTTTGTCACTGATTTCAAAATGAAAATCATGGTGTCTTTTATATATGGAATTATTTTATTTATATGAATCTCTGTGCAAAAATTTTACAAATGTGATCTTATTATAAGCCACCCACAACTCTAGAAAGCAGGTGATATTGTTATTCATTTTACCGATGAGGAAACTAAGGCTGACTGAGTGATGTTAGTTTCCCAAGTGGCAGAGTTAATAAATGGTAGAAGTCCAGTCTGTCTGATTCCAAAGTCATGTTCCAAAGCCAAATGCTCATTTAGATTCCCTATATGCGGGGAACTTATTTGGTCTTGCTCACCATTGTATCATCAGCACATGTTGGTATTCGATAAGCTTTCTTTTTAATTATTGAAGAAATGGAAGTTTTTTTATTCACTTTGCTAAAAGAGGCACATTTGAAAAATTCCTTTCTGTGTTGCAGATAAAGGAAGAACTAGATCTAAAAAAATAACAGAAAGTGGAAGAGGGAAACGATATTCATACAAATTACCTCAAGAATACAACATAGAGACTGTAGTGGTTGCAGACCCAGCAATGGTTTCCTATCATGGAGCAGATGCAGCCAGGAGATTCATTCTAACCATCTTAAATATGGTAGGCAAACTTTAAAGTGCGCTTGGAATTTTTTCAAGAAAACTCTAAGGAAGAAATGTGTGAGTATAATGAAGTTCTTTAAAAATTAACTCATTACTATTCCTTTCTTTTATTGACATCAGTAAAAAAATACTTTAGGTGTACCAAATTGATCCATCTCAAAAGAGATATCAAAATAATAATTCACGTCCTCTAGTAAAAAATTCTTATTGTTAATTTGATGTGGCAAAATTTTTTTCTATTATTCTTTTATCTTTTTGTGCCCTTCTTCCTTTTTTATAAAAGGCCATTTGTTGAAATAGCAGAAATGTTATATTTGTTTATATGCATGGCCCCACCCAAAGTACTATAGATTATGAGGTGGAACAAAAATGGAGGTTGGTAATCCACTGAGCGCTTATATAGGTATGTAAAATTGCATGTCAGGTATAAAACTAGTTGATGAGTAAGACCTAATAGCTAATAGTTATTAGCTGAATCACATGTAGCTAACTTTGGTTGATAGCTTCTGGACTGTAGAAATATAACTTGTACCTAGGATCTTATGGATGCTTACTACCACATGAATCCTTTGACTTAATTGCATACCCTGTTGGGTAAACTTCCTTCAAGGCAGAATTAGAAGGTTGTCGTGAAGAGTGGTTCTTAGGGGAGAATAAACATAAATGAAAGCCAAAGGCAAATGTCCATTTATAAATTCAGTTGCCATATTAAGCAAGGTGAGAACCACTAATTCAAGGATAAATTTGTTATATAAAATTACTATTTTTACTATTTTTTGCTATCGTCTGGCGTGTTTTTTTTTCAGTGAACATATTTTCCCACACTTCAGTCATTTCTGTCTGTGTTCAGCTAACTGCTGACCACTCAACCAGCATTCTGTAAAGGGCAGACAGGCATAGACTACCAACCTCAGTCTCTTTTAAATAGTACTATCTCTGAAAGCATGGGTTTGGTGTGCCAATTTTAATTTTCTATTATAAATTAAATACTCAATTTTACCAAAAAAAAAATCAAGGTACCACATAAAAAATTTGCCTTCCTTTTCAGCATTGTTAAACATACCATGTTTTGGGAAAATCAGTTATAATGATGACCTGAAACCGTTAAGCAATGATGGCCTTGTCTTCATGGACAGCCCTGAAAGGAAGAGCTTTGAAAAAACCCTGTTCCTATTTGGCAGTTAGCCTTGGGGAGAAAAAAACTCTAAGGAATAAATTGGGAGGCAGCATAAAGCAGGCTGAATTTTCAGGACATTTTCTCAGAAGAAAGGACCCTGGCATTTTGTGGTCTTAAGAAAATTTCTAGGGTTTAGTTACTAAAATTTTTCTCTTCAGTATCGTGAAAAGCCCAACGTTCCCTCTGCACCCCATTGAAATGCCTAGATTATCAAGGCAGCAGTGAGTATAGCAGAATGCTAGGTCTAAATTTCTTGGTATCTAAAATGAATTAATTATTGCTTATTAAGCTAATTTTAAAATAATTAAAAAATTTTTAATATGTAAAATTGCTCAACTGAATTGAGATTTCTCCCATGTCTGGGCTTTAAGAAAAATTAAGATGTTTTTCAGTTTTATTTTAGGATTTTTATTTTTATTTGTTTTTAGGTTTTTAACCTTTTCCAACACAAGAGTCTTGGTGTGCAGGTCAATCTTCGTGTGATAAAGCTTATTCTGCTCCATGAAACTCCAGTAAGAAAGTCTTGAGTTTTTCGTTCAATTAAGTGGGTGAGAAGTTGTGTTCAGGTACTTTTAAGTAAAGGGAATGTTAGGGATTTACTTTTTATCGACTTGAAATCCAGACGTATCCAGTGAGTCACTTAAAGTATACATAAAACTGGCCGTTAGTCTTAGTTAATACCTCAGTTATATTCCAAAATTGGAATGTTCTTAGTTTCCAAGGATCCTGACAACAAACCTTAACTTTGCAAAATGCAATTTAAAAAAATCATTTTTAATGACAGTCTTATTTTCTTATTTAAACATGGGCCTTATCTGTAATTCAATTTAAACAGAGACTATTCTGTGGCATCTTTTTAGCATGCTGCTTATCTGGTACTTTGGAAAACCTTTGTTCTTAAATTGTAAAAATAATGAGTGATTTAAGTCTAAAAGTTCCACATTCTTAATATTCCATTGCACCTCTCTTCTTCTTCAGAATAACATTAAACAAATTTTGTAATTACTCTACCTTCACAAAGTTTTAAGATTTTTAGCTCAGGCAAAATTAATCCTGAATGTCTTCCAGGTTCTAATTAATGTTATGGTCAGCAGTCTGCTTTAGTAATTCAAGAAGTCCCCTCAGTTTTTAGTTTTTTGTATATCTGAGAATAATTTGCCTTGAAGTGAAATCTCTTCTTTTGCAGGCAGATCTATATATTGGGCATCATGGAGAGAAAATGCTAGAGAGCTTTTGTAAGTGGCAACATGAAGAATTTGGCAAAAAGAATGATATACATTTAGAGATGTCAACAAGCTGGGGAGAGGACATGACTTCAGTGGACGCAGCTATACTTATAACAAGGTAAATTTTCCAAAGCCAATTAAATGACATTCTTAATTGATGGCCATGCTGTTAATCCTATTAATCCCTTCATAGAATGCTTTTATTCCAGATTTTCTGTTCCAGAAAACTTTTGGCATAATGCTGTTAGTTATTTCCCTCAATTCATAATAACTGATTTCTTAACAGCCACATATTGGATGGTATATTGACTAAACATTTAGTTAATTAATTTCAAAAAAAAATTAACCTCAATTTTTGATGTGAAGATGTAGCCAATGATGATGATAAGTGAAAACGCTGGTGAATTTTGGTGGAACTGAACTTATGAACCTACGTGGTATGTTTCTCAGTCATCACCATATAAAGTATCCCGTATATTAAATTGAGCAATTGATAGACTTTCTGGTTCCATCTGAGAAAAAAGTTTCAATTAAGTCTCTAGCTAATTAGTTTTCAGCTGTATTGTGAGTGTCCGTACTACTCAAACATTTGTATTGCAGCACTGAGTGTAAATATAAGAAGGTGAAATGATGAGCAACAATTAACTCTCTATGAGCACTCTGTATGAGTAATTATTTACAAGTTTGTCTTGCTTAGAGCTAGTAAAAATGAATGGTAGTTCACTGTTAACTAGCAATTTAATTTTAGTGTCAATAATGTTGACATTTCACATCTCAGAATACACAGTGACATTTAAACATGATTTTCTGTAATGAGTCTATTGAATTTGTGATAGCTTCTTGTTGCTGAATTGTATAAAAACTATTCTACTTATAAATAATTCATAAAGGTGAAATTATCTCTATGCAAGAACACAACTGGACTTCCATTTCCAGCTTTGTAGGTGTACCTGATACTGGACCTCTGCAATAAACAACCATAAAACTAGAAAACATTTATGAAGCAACTACTTGCAGTTACTGGAGAATGAGCCGTGCAATCTCTGAAAGAAGGAAAATTTCCTAAGTAAGCCCCACAGCCCAGCCAATTTTTTGCCTGGGGACAATTTTTTGACTGGTACAGCAAGCTGGAATCTAGGTAGAGCACAGTGGTCCTGCTGAAAGCACCAGAGAAGAGGATCCTTTGTGGGCAGAGGTGCCAAGAAGTCCTTGTGCAGATCATCTATGAGGACTTTGCAAGGCTGGTCTAAATACACAGAGATAGAAACTACCCAAAATTTATCAGGGTGCTATGGAGTTTGGATGTTAAAAAGGTACTAGAAGTTGAGCAGATTTGGACCACAAGAGTGGAGCAGCCTTGTTAATACCTTGTCATCACTCCTGGCATTTATCTGAGAAAACAGAAATGCTGTGCCTACACAGTAGGCACCATGAGCCAGAGAAATGCCCTCTCTTGAACTGTCCTAACAAAGCCTAAAACCAAGTCCCAGTAAGGTATTCAGAGGAGATGGAGTTTGGAGGTTGAGTCCCACCAGTTTACAAAAGTTTGGGAATCATCTTGAGCTTTCGGTAGATCCTCCCTACCAAGGAATAAACTCAAACCTACCTACATTCAGAGTGAGGAATAAGTAAAACAAGAGACAGCACTCTTCAGAGGAAGATAAGAGAACCTTGAATCTCTATAATATATCATATACAATGTCTGGAACATAATGAAAATTAGCCAAGCAAAAAAACATGAAAATGCGACCCATGGTCAAAGAAAAGTAGTCAGTAGAAACTGACCCCAAGGTAGCTTAGAAGTTGGATTTACCAAGTAATGTAAATACTGGACCTCTATCATTGGAATCTCAAAAGAGAGTGAGAATGGGTAAGAAAAGTATTTGAAGATGTAATGGCAAAAATTTTTCACAAATTTCATGAAAAACAACAACTTAGAAATCTAGGCATATCATAGAAAAATTGGTCAAAACCAAAGATATAGAAAAAAAAGTGAATTGGCTAGAGTGAAGGGATACGTTACAGAGAAAACAATCTTAAGATGGATAACTGACTTCCTGTCAGAAAAAAAAGCCCAGAAGACAGTAAAGTGATATCTCTAATGTACTGGGGGGAAAAACCCTATCAACAAAAATTCTTAATGAATTCTTAAGGGTATTTTCTTAATGTATGAAAGTGCATCTACATACACACACACACACAAAAAGTCTATAGCTAACATTACAATTAATGGTGAAAATCAAAATTTTTTAAGACTGGGAGCAAGGCAAGGATGCCCACACTTACCACTTCTGTTCAGTATTGTGCTGACAATCATAACCATAATCAGCATATTAAGCTGGCATGGGGGGGTATAAATACTGGGAAGAAAAAATTAAAAGTGTCTCTTCACAGATGGCATGACTTGGTACAAAGAAAATTTAAAGCAATCTAGGAGAAAAAAAATGCTAGAATTTATAACTGAATTTTACAAGGCCACAGAATATAAAGTCAATTTAGAAGAAGAATTGTATTTATATATGGTAGAAATAAACACTTGGGAAAATTTTACAGTAACTTCCAAAACCATGAAATATTAATAATTTAACAAAATAAAATGATATCTACACAGCTATACTTAGAGAAATTAAAGATCTAAATAAAGGTTTATTCAATGGAAGACTAAATACAGTAAGTCCCCTAGATACGAACAAGTTCCGTTCAGGAGTGCATTTGTAAGTTCAATTTGTTTGTTGAGTCTGACAGTTAGCCTAGGTACCCAACTAACACAATCGGCCATATAGAACTGTACTGTAATAGGTTTATTATACTTTTCACATAAATAATACTTAAAAAACAAACACACAAATAAAGAAAACATTTTTAATCTTACAGTACCTTGAAAAATACAGTGGTGCAGTACAACAGCTGGCATACAGGGGCTGACATCGAGTGAACAGGCAAGAAGAGTTACTGACTGGAGGAGAGAGAGGAGGTGGGAGATGGTAGAGCTGAAGGATCGTCAGCAATAGGAGACGGAGGGCAAGCTGCAATTTCACTCACGCCTGACACTGATGGCAAAGGTTCTGGTTCCTCACTGGATTCAATTCTATCTACCCTTTAGAAAAACCAATCCACTGATGTCTGGGTAGTAGCTCTTTTTTTCTCATCATAGATGATACGGTAGCACTGGATTGCATTCTGAACGGCTGCTGCAACCTTCGCGCACTGTTCTACGTTCAGGTCCTGTGCCTCAAAAACTAAGAGTGCCTCCTCAAATAAAGAAAATCCCCTTGCCATTTCCTGCATCGTGAATCTCTTTGGTTCTTTAGTTACTTCTTCTTCCTCTTGTCTCTCTTTGTCCTTTCTCTTTTGTCCTTTGTCCTTTCTCCAGGCCTCCAATTCCACCAGATCTTCTTTAGGAAGCTCCTCTTGTTTTACAGCACGGAGTTCAGTGAAGTCGTCCTTTTGCAGATCTAGCTCCATCTTCTCCCTGAGGGTCACTAAGTTTCTGAAGACCTCTTTGGACTCCTCATCCACCTTCTCAAATCCACGAAAATCGTGAACAAACTTCAGGCAAAGGTTCTTCCAAACCCCATTCATGGTGACGGCTGTAACCTCACACCAAGCAAAGTCAATGTTTTTTATGGCCTTGTAGATGTTATGCAGTAGTCCTTCCAAAATTGTCGCAAGGTTGTTCCTGATTCGTCAGTCGCCTTTACTGCCTGATGAAAAGTGTGACATAAATAATATTTGTTGAAAGTTGCTATAACTCCCTGGTCCATAGGTTGGATAAGCGACATAGTATTCAGTGGCAGATGCACTACTTTGACGTTGGGATAAAAGTTATCCACGAATGGGTGGTGGCCTGGAGCATTGTTGAGCAGCAAGAGAATGTTGAACGGGACGTCCTTCTCCAAGCAGTATTTCTCTACCTCCGGAATAAAGTGGTGGAAAAACCAGTCCTGGAAAATGGCCTGTGTAACCCAGCTTTGGAGTTACTCTTCCACACAACAGGAAGAGAGCACTTGGCAATGTTTTTAAGGGCTCTTGGGTTCTCTGAATGATAAACTAAGAGAGGCTTCAACTTCATATAGCCAGAAGCATTGCCACCAAACAACAGTTAGCCTATTCTTTGCTGCTTTATAGCCTGGCATCAACTTTTCCTCCTTACTGATGTAACTTTGGTCTGGCATCCTTTTCCAGTACAGTCCTGTCTCACCCACATTAAAAACCTGCTCAATTAAATATGTGTCTTCATCAATAATTTCTCAAAGCATTTCAGGAAATTCCTGAGTATCTGCACTCGCTGCCTCACCACTGACTTTTACGTTGTGAAGGTTGGCTCTAGCCTTGAACCGATGAAAACCAGCCATGGCTGGCATTAAAAGATGCGCCCTCTGATTCTTCACCGTGTTTCTTCTTCAAGTCTTCATAAAGGCTTTTAGCTTTCTCTTGAATCAGCATTAAGCTGAGCAGGACTCCATGCTGATGCTGGTCCAGCCTCCACACACTGAGAAGTTTCTCCATCTCCTCCATCACTTTTCCACACTTCTTCGATATTATTGTTGACATCATCGGCACAGCAGACTTCACATGGTCCATGATCTTGTCCTTGTTCTTTAGAATTGTGCCAGTGGTTGAACGATTCCTGTTATAAGAGTGAGTGAAGTCTACCATCTTTTTGCTTTGCTCCACTCACTCAATTATTTTCACTTTTATTTCCATTGGTATCGCTTGGTGCTTCTTAGTAGTACCAGCTACATCACCGCTGCTTTTGTGCTTGCTTCTGGACATCGTGGGCTTGAAATAAAGATACTGTACTACTGTACAAAAGCACAGCCAGTTGTAGAGGATGCACACACATGACAGCATATGCCAGACATGTGAAGTAACTTATGTGATTGGACATGCGAACACAGGTTCACATCTTTGAAAGTTCTCAATTAGAAGGTTTGTATGTAGGGGACTTATTGTGTTGTCAAGATGTCCATTTTTCCCAAATTGACTTATAGAGTCACTATAATCCCAATGAAAATCTCTGCAGGCTTTTTTGTGTGTGTGTGTGTAGAAATTACAGTCTGATTCCAATATTTATTTGGGAAAGGAAAGGACCTAGAAGAGTCAAAACAATTTTGT